CGACTGAGTGCAGATTAAAAAAAAAAAAAAATGGTCTAACTCTTCAAGGTTGGCTGACTTTAAATCAGTGACTTTATTTAAATAATCAAGAAGAAAATAATGATTTTTTAAAATTCATCTATTAGATATAACTATGTTATGAAAATATTTTCATCCACAAGTAGCTGTAAATCTGCATCAAGCATTTTTAAACTACTGAACTTCTGCATGCAAACACACACCTTTTATCTGCTTACACAAATTGAATTCAGAATGGATCAGTGGAATCTGTATTGTAAAAACCCAAAAAACTATTATGCAAGTGTGCCTGGCAGAACAGGAAGCAAACACACTGACACATAGAAAGCTGCAGTTTATTAGAAATGGGTTGTGAACAGCTGTTGAAGATGTTATGACTTAAATTCAGGTTTTCCAGTTCTGAAAATACTGTAAATCTAAGTTTATTTATTACCTTCAAATAGTAGTTCAGAACATATTTTTAACAAAAATACAGACTGATAATATGGTAATAATATAATATGGCAATTAAGTATTTTTACATGTCAGTGTTAGGACAGACCTGGTATAAATGAAAATAAAATCAAGATTTTAAGAGATCACCGAATTTTAAGGATATAGAGATTATATGATACAATAAAATCCAAACCCTGCTTTTTGGTAAATGTCTATAATTGTATAGTTTACTATGTGCTTTGCAGGAAATGTGCAATGTGTTCTAAAGAATTCGCTGAATATTTATTTTCTTCTAACTGCATGTACACAGATGACATATGCAACCAGAATTTTGGCTGAAGCAGGTCCACTGGGGAATAATAGGTCTGTAGGCAATTCCCATTACCACTTATATAAAGAACCTAATGAAAACTGAGCATGCTTACCAGCCAGAGCATACTGACTATTAAAAGAGAAAAAAAAGCTAGAGAGCAAATACAAAAGCATGAGGAATGGAATCTTGCAGAAGTATTTCGAATAGATTGTGTGTACTGCTACAAACTGAACATGTACACAGGACTAAGGATCTATATTCACACATATGTACAAAACTCCCTCGTCTACCTCTTTGAAATGAAAAAAAAATCAATTTCTTTTGATGGTTTTGTATCCATTGTTAACCCTAAATTTAGAGAAAGCATATAATGGGAAGAAACGTCCCTCAAAATCAAGTAGCTGCAAAGAAATTTAAGGTGAAGCTCTTCTTCTTCTAGTGCCCAATAAAGTATATCTAAACATCTGGAGATTCTAAAATTGGCACATGGCTGTAAACTAAACATTTACATTCCCAAACTGTAAAATGAGAAATGATAGGGGTTCCCCTAATTCACTCTGTATAACAGCAGGCTTGCTGCAGTGTAGTTTCATATCACATATCAGAGTTAATATACTGTAGGTCTGCTAGAAAGAAAACCAAAAGCCAGGTGGGAAAAAATCGACATGTTCAAATGAGGTCAGGGTTATAGCATTCATATGGTTCTTACAGTTTCTTTCTCCCTCTAACCAACTATTCTACAACTGGATAAAGCCTTAGTTTTTTCCTACTAATGAAAATACATTTAAATGTATGGATGGATGGATTCATCCTTGAAAGTCTGAGTTGTTCAGACCAATATGCAGTTTGCCAAAAGTATAGTATGACTTCCAAAGCTGAAAAACAGCAAGTATATACATCTTTATATTTATTCATAGTGTAGCAAGTGAAGATGAAGAAACCACATAGCATTTTTAACTATCAAAAGCAACTGTTTACAATCCATTCATGACATCAGTCATAACAAATTCAAATTACTATTTATTCATGCTTTCATTCTAAATATACACAAAGTACAGTGGAAGATACTCTTCACGGAAAGATTAAAGTATGCTACAGAAATAGTGTAAGAAGATTTTTAAATAATATGCCACACTGGACATCATGTCACTGACACAATAAGACTAGCATTACATAATGAGTAAACAGTATATTAATTGCATCAAGCCTATTTAAAGGATGGAAAATTACACTAAGAACAAACAGCAACAGCCACTGAAGTACTATAGCAGGAAATCATTATGTTTCTAAGCGAGATTTTTTGGACAATCCACTTATATTGCTTCCTTTCCTTTTCTGGGAAACACTGGAATCTTTTGGGAGGTCAGTCCCGCTTTTGTGATTTTCTTCGTTGATTTCTAAAGGCTGAAACAGTATCAAAGAAAAACAATGAGATGGGAAAAGACTGTTTCATTACCTGTTCATAGTTGCTCAAAGAATGAATAGCTTTATTCATATATTGCAAGAATGTAAGCTTCCCAGCTTAGAACTTCAGAGTCAGTTCTCTGTTCCTTAAATACACACATATTCTTGCAATTCACTACAGATTACTTAGGTATCCTATTTTATAGTTTATCAGATTCAGTAATACAATCATCAAACTGCAGGAGAAAAAAAGTTCTTTCCTTCGTCGTTCTCTATTACAGAACTATATTTCTGTGGGGAATGAATAAATTATTTTCCGAAACTCCTGAGGTATGAGTTTTTATACATTTTCTGTAGATCACATCTTTATTACAACGAAAGGCCATTATTATTTAGGGGGTAAATTCTGGACAGAAATACCACTTCAAAACTAATAGAAACAAAGAATTCCTTCTACAAATTACAAATCAATATTTTATTTATGTCAGTTTGAGATACAAAAAAAAAATCATTTTCATCCCAGCATTTTCTTTATTTAGAAGAAAAAAGCACTATCGCAGTAATAATATTATTTAAGGACCAGGTGCCCTCTGGTGTTTCAACTGTGTAATTACAATACTTTCTTTACCCCAGCAATAGAAGTTTGATCACAAATAAAACATAGAACTATTAATTACTGAAAGCTACTTCATGTTCTTTTGCATTCTTCTTAAATTCAAAGACCACACTGGCTACCACATCAGGATGTGCACGTGTATATAAGTATTTGGATATTCAAACATATATACATGTGCCAGTATATTATTCCTACACTATATTGTTTTACTCTGTTTCACATACTCTAATTCACTTTTCTCTCTCTCAAACACACACACACGTTTCTCCCACTATGATTGCTGGAAGAAGATTAGGATGCCTAGTCTATCAACCCTCCAAACCATCCTGAATTTTTCCTTTGCTTGGGAAACCCAACAAGAGTCAAAATGCAGCAGTTTGCTACTCCTTCCTTGGAAGAAAACTGAAGCTACTAAAACTGGTTCCCTGCTGTCCAGCGACCTGGAATCTATCTTGGATCAGGGAGAACCAACATATAGCTGAGAGGTTGCACACCCTTGCTTTACTGGAACATAAAAAAGTTTTTTGCTACAACTGTTCTTGGTTTGTGGCCATTATCTATATGGTTAAAAGTTTTAATAATAATAATAATTCAGCTCTTTTTCTCTAAACTATGATTCAAAAATTTCCTGCTATCCAAGTCCTGCTATGCTGCCTCAACATGATGTGGGGAATGTTCCTGGGAAGGACTGAGTGAAGAACACCAGAAGCGTATGCCAAGACATGAAGGTCATTCCAGCTGCAAAAAGCAGGCAGCTATATCAGAAGCAGCATTACAGGAAGATGCTGGAACTGGATGATCATGTCAGTGAAAATGGCAAGGCATTATTTTGTTCTTTGGAAATTGCCAAAAAAAGAAGCCAAGACAAAGATCTCAGGAAAGAACTTAAATAAAGAATTTCAGAGAGCTGTTAGGAGAGACAAGAAGCGATATTACAATGACATATATAAAGACATCAAAACTGGGAAACAGACACAGACAAACAGGAAGTCTTCCAAAAGATCACTAAACACAGAAGGAGGTTCCAACCTCAAATTGGTATATTCAAGGACACCAATGGACAGACAGGAATTGATTCAGAGAAGGTCAAACAAAGACTGAAGAAGTATACAGTACTGAAATTTTGGGCAGTAGCAACGTCGACATCCAAGATGCCTTTCAAAATATTCTCTATTGGCACAAACCTGTAGCACTAAAAGAAGTAATTAGATGAGTGCTCTGATAATCACCAGAAGGCTACAGGAACTGATGGAATATTTCCAGATCCTCCATATGGCAACAGAAGAATCAGTAAAAGTTCTAACCAAAGCATGTCACCAAATATGGAGAATGACGAAGTGGCCAAAAGATTGCAAGTCAGCATACGTATCATTATAAAGAAAGGAGGCTTAAAAGAATGTGCAAACAACAGGTCGTCCTTGTTCAGTGACCGTTCGAAGTTACAACAGTGCTGAATGAGGGGACTTATGACTGTTCCTCGTAGTTGTGGCTGTTGCAACATCCCTTGTGGTCACGTGGTCACGATTCAGGTGCTTGGCAACTAGCTCACAATTATGTGACTGTGGTCACAGCGTCCCACAGTCATGTGTTTGCCATTTGCGACCTTCACTGCTGGTTTCCGACAGGCAAAGTCAATGGAGAATCCAACAGGTAGTCGCAAATGTCAACCACAGAACGTTGCAACCCCGCAGGATTTGCCTAATGACAGCAACTGGAACTGCTGCAACTGCTGTTGTAAGTCGGTGCGATCACTTGATGTTGTGCTTTACAACCACATTGCTTGGCGATGGAGTTTCCGGTCCCAATTACTGTTGTTAAGTGTGGACTACCTGTATCATGCAATATCCTTGATTTTACATACTAACAAAATAATACTTAGGATCATCCAATGCAGATCAGAGCCCTACATGGAAAGGGAAATACCAGATATTCAACCTGGTTTTAGAAAAGGTTGAGGAATAAGAGACATTATTGCAGATGCACACTGGATAAAGCCAAAAAATACCCCCCAAAAATTAATATATGCTTCATTGATTATAGAAATTGTGTCGACCATGTCAAGCTATGGAATGACCTTAGAAAAATGGGAGTCCCAGAATATTTCACTGTCCTCATGAGAAATCTATACACAGGTCAGAAAGTCAGTTTGGGCAGAATGTGGCAAAACACACTAGTTCCAAGTCAGCAAAGGAGTGCAACAAGGCTGTATACCTATTCCTTATTTATTCAACCTACAGTATATGCTGTATATTGAGGAAGGCTGGATTGAACCATGGTTTTAAAAATAGAGAAACATCAAGAATCTGCATTATGCTACAGGTAGCCCTCAACTTACAATGGCAATTACGACCGGAATTGCCATCGCTAAGCAATGTGGTCGTAAAGTACAAACACATCACTTAGTGATAGCAATCCCTGCAGTCCCAGTTGCCATTGCTAACTGAATCCCAGGGTCCTTAGGTGATGTAACTTCCTGCCAGCTTCCCACAACCAAGTCAGCGGGGAAGCTGGCAGGAAGTTACAAGTCCCAGATGGTTAGCAAGCAGGCCGGCAGGCAGGTAAGTGCTGCTGCTGGGTGGGGCAGAGTGCAAGGGGGTGTGCAAGACTGCGAGGGAGGTGTGGCAAGGCTTGGGGAGGATATGAGTGGGTGTGAAAGGGTGCAAGGGAGGCACAGCGAGGTTCAGAGAGGGTGTGTGGGAGATGTGGTGATGGAGGCGCAACAAGGTCAGCAAGGATGCACGAGGGTGCAAGGGAGGATGGTGAGGGTGCGCAAGGGTGCATGGGAGGCATGGTGAGGATCAGGAAGATTTCATGAGGATGTGAGGGAGGTGCGGCGAGGCTCAGGGAGGGTGCATGGGGCGCAAGGGGGGCATGGTGAGGCTCAGGGAAGATGCACAGGGGTGAGTGGTCATCGCAGCATAAGTGCAGAGGGGCTAGGAGAGAGCACATGGGTGTGGGAGGCTTACCCCAGCAACCTGTGACCTTCCCTGCTGACTTTCTGGGGAAGCCAGCAGGGATGGTCACAAATGGCGATCACGTGATTGTGGGTACTACAAGAAGTCATAAGTGTGAGCTGGCTGCCAAGTGCCCAGATTGCAATCATGTGACCATGGGGGAGCAGGGACAGCTGGAATTCCAAGGACTGGTTGTAACCATCATTCATTCAGCATTGTTGTAACTTTGAATGGTTGCTGAACAAATGGTAGTAACCTGAGGACTACTTTTATTTTCCTCATACATTAAGCATATGTATTGCTGAGTCACATGCCTAACAGAATTCCAAATAAAATATGGTTATAATATGATAAATTCCAAACCCTTTTTTACCCAAGGCATGTTTTACAAGATCAGGCATTAAGATGATGATGATGATGATGATATAATACAATAAGTTGTCAGTTAGAAAATCTCTGTATTTTTCCTTGAAGTTTTGAGTTATGCTAACCTGGCCAGGAACCCAAACTTCTCTTATATTGCCATCCTAGAAAACACTTTTTTTTCCTGGCAAAGATATAATTGAGGCACTTGTACACCATGGCACATTCATGACACTATAACTCCACAAACTCAATTACAGGAAGATAGACAATTATGAGATGCAGATTTCATTGAGCACAGCAAGACTGCACATGTGAAGATTAACCAACACCCCATTCCTTTGTAACAGAAATGATGTATATATCTTACCATTGTTGTCTGGCTTGCATATTTTTCTGTCCATTGTCTGGCATTTTTGAGAAATGCTTGCTTGTTGTATTTATACTCTGAAGACTAGACATAATAAAAAAGGACAAGAGAAGGATAATTATAGCCTATCATAAGACTATAGTATGTTTGATGACAGATTTATCAGACAGCATGGAAGACTTAACCTTATAGATACATAAAGACTAAACTTTGAAAGAGGCCCTAATGGTTTATATATTGCATGTAACATATATGTGCATTTTGAAGCATGAACATTGAAAAATTCTATTAGCATGTTTTACCATACCATAAATTGTATGCATTGACTTAGTATGTGAAGAATATCATGCAAATAAATACCAAGAAATCACAACATGCAATGTATCTCCTTGTAAAGCATGCAGTTTAACTCCTAAAGTCCAATACATTCCAATTAACTAAAAAAATGAAACCTACTATATCAGCCATGAGAGGGTCATCAGGATTGGGTTCATTCATAAGGATCTGGATGGAAGTTAGCAAAGCAGCAATGTTCAGGGATGGCCTCCAAGCACCCTTCCAAGCAAAAATAGAAGAAAAAATATATTGGAGAAAGATATTAAGTAAGCTACTCTCCAAGATTTTTCAGGTATCATTGCAGACTGAATGTTCCAACTACTAGCTCCCAAGTTATAGAAGTGTAATCTGCAACAAAAAAGGTTGCAGAGTAATCTCACCTCTTAACAGACATGCACTTCTTCACCTTCTAACCAGTCAAACATACACTTCCTCTAAGGCAGCCCTAAGGTGCTCAGGTAAGTTGATGTACACACCAGTTTTCTTTTCCAATATTCAGTGGCTCCTAGAAATCACTGAATATGCTTAATATACATTGAGCTGCTGGAGGATGGAAGTGAGCAAGTTTTGCCCATCTTGATGTGCTTTTTAAAAAAAACACACAGAATTGGTAACTTTCTAGTTTTTAGGTTTCTGGTTTTGACTATAGTCCAGAGCTTTGCTATTATCCATGTATATAGTCAAATAAACATATTGCAAAAATACCATCACACACATAAAATAGCATTTTTTAAAGGCTCATAAAAAGTTTTACAACAAAATTGCTTCAGCAGGGCAATCCCAGCAAGTGATCTCTTTGTATTAGTATGCATGCCAGGAACTGCGTCCTGCACAGATAAAGACATTTATATCGGGTATCCATTGCAGCTGTCATAGTATACACTACATGGTAGTATAATTTTATCTAAAATAGTAGAAATAGTGTCAGCCCTCCAAGGTAGACCAAGCTTGCAAACCAAAAACACACAAGCTAATACTACTTTTATTATAAGGTTATAGTAACAGAATCTTGCAAGTCTGAATGTGCTTCCCCCCCCCCCTCCTTTTATCTTCATGAGAACTACGGAGGCTCATAACTGAGACGCTTTCTCAAATTATATTTCTGCCCCTGATTCAGATTTCTTTTATCTGACCATTGTCTGGTTCAGGCTCTTCCTCTTGTTCCTCAAGGTTATTCCTTCTGCCCATTACTGATAGTAGAGCTACAGATAAAACCAAAGCCCTGTTTCCACAAGCTGAGAAGAAAGAGTGCAATCCCTGCTATTCATTATTCCAGAGTCTTAAAAAAGTTATAAAATTTCCTCCCAGTAAAACCAGCAGGAAATATTGATGCAAGCTTTGATCCATTATCAGTTTCAAAGATGTTTGAAAGTGAAATTACAAAGAATTCTTTGGACATTGGGAGATAATATCTGAGGTTGGACCTCTCCCTCAATTATGGACTTCTCTTTCCATTCTTGGTTTAAAAAAAGTGTTTCTGAGCCATTCTCTTAAGGATAATAGGACTGCAATTTATAAGAGAAGTGATGCAGTGCATTACCTTGGGTGGTAATCTAAGAACATCCAGGCAAATTCTTCCAGCCGAGTCAATGTTGGGATGGTAAATGGGAGTAAGAAAGCGCATTTTTGGAGGTTCAAATGGATACCTATTTCAGAAATAGTTCTCATGTTAGAAAAGTAAGACTTTTTAACAGGTTACAATCTATAGTTCTTTATTCCCAAGCCATTTTTCAACTTATAAATCCCAATAACTTGTTACTAAATTTACTACACAGCAGTTCATTGACAACTCTCTAGTTCCTATTCTAATCTTTTGAAGATCCATAGTTAATATGCCTATTGTAGATTTATATTTTAATTTTTTTTATCCCGCCTTTATTATTTTTATAAATAACTCAAGGCATGAACATACCTGAAACTCCTTCCTCCTCCTATTTTCCCCACAACAACAACCCTGTGAGGTGAGTTGGGCTGAGAGAGAGTAACTGGCCCAAAGTCACCCAGCCAGCTTTCATGCCTAAGGCGGGACTAGAACTCACAGCCTTCTAGTTTCTAGCCTGGTGCCTTAACCACTAGACGAAATTGGCCCCTTTATATGGCCATGATTTGTTTTACATTTCAGGAACATATTTTCTAAATACATTGCTGCATTAAAGAAAAGGATTCACCATTTACCTTTCAGGCACAACTACTTCCAAGTCAAAAATTCCTTTTTCATATGGGGTGTTTGCACATCCTAATATTTCTAAAAGAGAGAGATATTAACTGTGTCAATACTGACCTCTTTAAGTAACTGTTGCACCCACTGTAAAAAACAATCAGAGTTAGATCTAAGAAGTCACAATAATAATTTCTTTAAAATCCATTCTATTCAAGAAATTCAGCAGACTAGGAACAAAGAAGAGTTCCAAAGAGTCTGATAATTAGCTATTATTCAAAGTTGGAAACTATTATTCAAAATTGGAAACTAATTTTTGAATGGAAATTACAACTTAGATAAGGATACATTCAGTTCTTCCAAGAGAGGATTTCCACAATCGCAAATAAAGGTTTCTAAGTAGAAAGAAAAACAGCACCAAAACAGAAAATGAATAGCACTTCCTTGAACTATATGAACTACAACAAACTACAGTGGTACCTCGGGATACGAACTTAATCCGTTCCGTGACTCTGGGCGTATCCCGAGT